AAGGCCATGATTGGATGTTTTTATCTTCATGACTTCTAGGAAAAACTTGAAGATTGCTCAAAAATCCGTGAATTGAATCCTATTGTCAATATCTTGAAATTGTAAGCTCGAAGGTTTGCAATTCATTCTTTCAATTCTTCTTTCTATGTTAGGCTCACAAAAGAAGGATTTGTGGCACTACACCTTAGAAATAATGTTCTCCACTTCTTTAAGAAAACATTTAATGGACTTCTCTAGTGGCAATATTATATCTTTTAAGCCTCTTTTGATGAAATGAGAGTTGACATGCACTTCAAACTCATTTAGATTCTTAAAAAAATTACATCATCTTATGGAATTAGGATAATATAAACTTTGATAAGTATATTCATTGGTAAAGCAAAGAAGCTTTTGGAGAAGGTTGTAGCATGAGTCATGAAGCTAAATTGAAACTTTTTATGCACAAGAACTTAAATCAAGTAAAAAATTACAAATTGTTAAGCTTCACTTCTTTAAAAATAGCTTCACATGAGAAAAATTCTTAAGGTACACAATTGTTTCTATAAGGTTTATGTATAGAGAGTTTATTGGCTGCCCAAGTGATGAAGAAGACTTTTATATTGGTACTTTTTTGACACTCTCCTAAGGAACAATGGGAGAAATGTTAATGGAGAATCGACCAAGTAGGGCACTATTTGAGTTTTTACTCTGAAGAGAATAGGAAATACAAAAGTGGAGAATCTCCTTACATAGCTTATTAATTCCATCATTAGCAATGACAATCTAAAAAGCTTCAATCTCAATCCTTTGCTACACAAAGAAAAGTATTCATTGTTGTGAAGAATTACTAAAGATTTATTGAGGCTTGGCCATAAAGAGGTTGTGGATACTTTAAGGCTCTCACTATTATTATTGTACATGTATAGAAACATCTTCAGTAAGTGATTGTGGTCATGTGCTTTGCAATGCAATGCTTATGCAAGAGAAAAAGCACCATAGTGAAAAATGGTAACAGCCACCACCGCAGCTTTGTGATGTGCTTCTTTGCACCAACTTAGATACAAGCCCATTGCATAGTTAGAAGAATCCTTAGCTCTTGAAGAATGCCACAATCTTCTCAATTAATAATTGAGAGTAATTCGACAACTCTATAAGCAAGAAATAGAACCACAACCATAAAAAAAAGTCAAAATTGGACATAATGGACACAACTCTACAATGCCTTAATGAAATGATAGCCTCTTGTTTATTAAACTTACAAATCTTAAAATGGTTGTAAGCCTTAAATTTCAAATTCATCAAATAATTGTAGATTCAATAATGAAACTAGATTCCATAACATTGTATACTTTGTCTAGTGGACCATAAGAACTCCCTCACATTTGAATCAATTCTTAATCTATTTTTGCTACAAAAGAGTCAAAAATTATATAGCTTATATGAGAATCCATTAAAGGTATGATGCTGCTCAGTCCATTTTTTGACTAGTAAGAGAAGACCTCGACTAGATGTGCATATATAGCATCCAATGCCTAGACAAGTAGGATGGGAGAAGAAAGATCAAGGCACAAGAAAGGGGTTGAGATTGTAGAGTAAGGTTGACAATGGAAAGAATAAGAACAAGGGTGCAACAATTCTTCATCCATGGTAGGTCAATTTAGTAAAAAATTGGGTTGCTTTATCATCTCTCTCTCTCTCTCTCTCTCGCTATATATATATATATATATATATATATATATATAAATTATAATCAATTAATTTTTATTTATTTTTAAAATTTTACGACATGTAACTTATAAAAAAATCTTTTAAAATGCACTTATTTATGTTTAAGAATTCTAATTCAAAAAAAATAAAAAATAAAATAATAATCTCTCAAATCATATTGTTACAAATTTCTAATTAATTAAATTTATATTTATATTTTAGTATTTCAATCCTTAATTTTATAGAACACCTTGATAATTGACTTGTGTAGAATTATAAAATTTCAGTATATATTTATTATAAAGAGGAAGAAAAATGGATTTAAAAAAATATTATAATAGTTATATTGCATAAAGATATTTCAAAAAAAAAAAAAAAAAAAAAAAAAAAACAATGTTGACACAAACCTCTGAGTCAGTTTTCTCTATATTATTATATTTACTACTTGTAGATTACCACTTAATGTTGTTGTTATTACATCATCTTAGTGCAAGTTATGTCTACTTTTTGTTTGAACATAGTAAACTTAAATTCGTCATTTATCATTTACAAAAAGAAAAATGCATGCCACAGATTATTTTTATGTTTTTTGGTCCTCTTTGACTACAACAAAATGTTTTGCTTTTCTTAATGCTTGAAAAACTAGAGTTTTATAAAAATCAGTAAAGTACCCATGCACGTACAATCTAACAAATTATATATTTGACTGATTTTTAATCCTCTCTCTCTCTCTCTCTCTCTCTCTCTCTATATATATATATATATATATACATATATATTAAATTCAAATATTTCAAGTAAAATAATTAAACCTATAAATAAAAATTCACCTTTTTAAAGGATTTAATTTTTTCCGATTTGTAAAATTTAATTCCATGTGGTCAAAGTTGCAGCCATGAATTCAAAACTAACTTCAAATAACATAAACCCTAAAATAAATCTTAACTAATTACTACATATGAACTTATAAAAGTACCTCTGCAAATAATTGGATATTTTATTATCACTGATTGGCAGATTTTAGTCACTATAAATTGGTATTAACACTACATACTGGCAATCTATTACCCAACTCAAAAAAACAAGTGTTCTCACATGAACTGATCAATAATACATGGGACGATGTTAGCAAATTTGCATAGAAAAATCCATACCGACAAATTATGAGGTTTTGCTGCACAAAAAACATAAACGAAGGCTTATAGTTCCTTGTATTTTCTTTTTAGACCCTTCAATATTAGGTGCAAAATTGAAATGTATTTGAATCTTAATTCTTACAACCAATACAGGAGATGAGATTAATGCAGAGTCAGATTTTTTTGAAAATATGGTGACAACTGTATGGTCATGGGGGGCTCAGTAGAAGAGTCCGCCCCAGCATGGCTTCGTAGCCACAAGTTGAAGCTGGGACTATGGAAAGAAACATTCAAAATTGGGGGAATTCATACAAAAAGGAGCAGGACCCAGATTCCACGTCAGTCCTTTTGGCAGGGTCCACGTGCTCTGACCCTTTGTCCACGTCCTCAGGCGGCAGCCAAGTGATGAAGGCAGAAAAGGAAAAAAAATGAGGAAACATAATTTTTAAATATTATACAGATGGATGTATGTATGTATGTATGTATGTATGTATTTACCGTGGTGCTGACCGTGCCTGGGATTCCTCCTCGTCCTCCTTCTCCTCCGAGCCCGGTCAGCCATGCAGAGCTGGAAAACCTTACAAACAAGGGCAGGAAGAAGCCCCATGTTCTGCAGCCCTCATTGGCTGCACTGGACCACATCTCTCTCTGCATGGCTGTCTGTTTATTACCCACTCACTCACTCACTCTCAAAAGTAAAAACAAATAAATATTTCGACATTTTAAAGTTAATTCGTTTTTTTACTGAACGAGGATAAAGCCGTCATTATTTCTCATGGAGGCTAAAGCCGCCAAGGATAGCCAAAAGTTTCTTACTCCCCATGTTCGAACCCTCACAGCAATTTGAACTCAACCAAGTTTTTTCTTTTTTACATTTATTATTTATTTTAGATTCTGTTGAATGGAAAAACATGGCATTTCACCAACCATGTCGTAGTGTACTGTGAATCCTAAAACGACACTGGTATCTTTTTTCGAAACTCCATGCAAGTTGAATTTAAAATGCATGAGTGAACAGTAAATTAATTGTCCATAAAATTGGGGAAAAAAAAAATAGAAAAAGAAAAGAGAGGGGGTCCTGAGTACATGATCAATAAGAATCTGGTTGCTCAGGCACTTGGGGCAACCGCAGAATGGAACCTTCTTTTTTAATTGGAAGGAAAAAGGATGGCGCACGTCATAGTTTTTTAAAAGGAAATTAACACTATTATAAAAGCACACATGGAACATGGAATGACGAGAATATACATATAGTTAGTCAGTCCTTGAAAAGCTTCTTTAGCAAATAGTGAAACTCAATCTGCCACATCAACCTCCAAACTCCATGATCGAGCCAAAATCCAATCCTGCTTAATTAGGCTAATGTTTGTTTGGTGTTTTTCTTTTGCCAATCAACAACTTGCACAAGAGCGAGAGTGTGTAATCTCACTTGCTCGTGGGTTTTAATAGAAAGCAGTGGCTAAGTTTGTTTGTAGTGAATATTCTTCCACGATCGGATCAAATTGTTATTCCCCGGTCCCCTGTTTCTTACTTATTACGGACATTCACAGAAACCTTTATTTTCCTGTTTTCTTTTAATGGGATGTGCATAACAGAAACCGCATGTGCTAACAAGAAGATACTTTCTAGCGCTGCAGACTTTCTTATGATATTTTTTCACCCTGCGGTGAAGAATTGTTCCCAGGACCCTCCTCAAGAGAGTTAGTTCTCTTCCGAGGATGTTGTTTCCCTTGTCCTTTGCCTCCTTTCACCCAGCTGGCTATTTACAGGGGGAGGACGACGACGAAGACTACGACGACGAGGCTTAAGGGAGCCATGCCGCATCCAATGTTTGGTGGCCAACCAGGTACAGGTGGCATCTCTTTTTCCAACATGGAGCTGTCTCAGTTTTATTGGGGAGTAGATTGAAAGCGGTTTTGCTGCAGGTGAGAACAGTATCTCGTGCAGGGCTATTGGAAGGAGCTTGATGATGCACTACTTCTCAAGCACTAAAACTGGGAACTACCACAATCACTAATTACCACAGCACAAACCCTGTTGGCTCCTCCTTTGGATTCCTTTCGAGACTAATGTGCAAACTCGTTTGATTGCAAGTTGTTTTGTCCATAAAAGACTATCATACAGGCTCACTTTTTATACTTGGAGAGAGGTACCATACTGGTGTAAAAAAAAATGAGGGTAATTGAACATAAAGATGATTTCTTTACTTCGTGGAATGCGTTGCGGTATTTACAGTTGGTAGCCTAATCATACATTGCAGGCCGATTTTGGTATCGATTTCTGCGTCACACCTAAGTTCAATCACTACAAGGGTTCTCACTGCGGAGGCTCACATTCTGCACTGTTACAATGCACTTCAAGTCCAATGTAAAATTGTGCCAACCAGGGAGCAAAAAGCATCATGATCTCATGCTACCTACATACAGGCAATTTGTAAAGTGTGCATTCCATGGATGCGCCAGTCTGATCCTGTGAGCATTTTTTGATCATTGTTGAAGAAGATATCTGCACAGCGTTTCAGTTCATACTGAGACGACGTGTGCAATGCGACTTTCATTGATGCTTGCAGCGTCCTTCTCAGCAGGGTAGAGACTCGCACATGATCCAGCAGACATTCGAGCATGCTGGGCTCAATGATTGCCTCGGCTGCATCACCGACATCGCTAGCGGCACTCGGGCAAAGGCTAAGCATAGCTCGCCACCGGTTAAACGAGCGCCACCGGCAGCACCTCTTCAGGTTGCAGAGCTCAGAACGAGTGGTTCAGTGCGTTCGGTGTGCGTAGTAGCGACTAACGCATTCTTTAGCAATTTGAGGTGAGCGTGTGATATCCATGTTACCAAAGAAGTCATCTTGCCAGGCTGCACTCCGCCATTCTTCGTCCTAATGAGCTCTGACTGAGCCTAGATAACTCATTTCCTAATAGTAAAGAGATTCTCAAAACAGGTAGCACGGCGACGCTTGCATCTTTAGGCTGGGATTAGAGACAAATTCAGGTTTGTCGCATTGGATTGCGCAAACCAGTGCAAATCGACCCATGCTGCGGGGCTTCTTCGGAGCTGGGGGGCAGAAATCAATGTCCACGTCGGGGATTCTGTGCTCCGTCGCTTTGGGTGTCTCGCAATCCGATTCCTCTACATTGAACACATCTCCATCTTCTTTTTCTTCTTCTTCTGCTCTGTCGCTCATGAGGCTCAAATCCAACGTTAGGCTGCTCTTCGTACGCGACGCACTCTGTTGCGTGGTGCAAGAGCTTCCAGGCACCATTAAGCTTCTGCCCCTTGTGCACACCGGTCGAAGGTTAGGCAGCTGGCATTCCCAACTATCGAGGGTGACGCGACGCTTTCCCATTCCCATTGACCCTTGAGCTGGTTGCGAAACCATAGTAGGTGCCATCGCTAAATTAACCACACAAATGGTGAAATGATCGAGAATTCAGTAACTGTAAGCACCACCAGCACGCCCGAACTATCTACGTATCCCTTCTAAACCTTACAAAATCGCTATGTAGAGCCCCTCCGTTTCTACAATTAGACAACGAAATGTCTCACGGCTAAACTTCTGCGATACTAAGAATACAATCGCAAGCAGTGCAGATCACACCATTCCCTAGAGGTTTTTCAAACTACGCCAAGACTCAGGATACGAATCAGTCCAACTCTCAAATCCTGCTGGTTCTCTTCCCACTAGAACTCAACGAAGCTCCAAGTGCAGCGCCACCTCCTACAAACTCAACCACCCTGGATTCACCCCACAGCTACCACAAACGCACCAAGTCTCCCACTGATTTAATAAAAACCCAGATAGCAACGAGGACACGATGGGACGTGTGTGTGTGTGTGAGAGAGAGAGAGAGAGAGAGAGACGGAAACAAGGCACAAGTGACGAAGGCGGAGGGCAGAGAATGAAGAAGAAGATGGGGGTGGGTAGAATGTTTATGTACGCACTGATCTGGTGAAACGCAGGCTGGGTTAGGATTCTTCCTAGTGGGTGGGAGTGGGGGGTGCGATTTTATTACAGGCACGCGTGCAAGAACGGGAACCGCGGCGCGCGTCGCTCGCCACGCCAGGCCTCTCTACTTGGCCCCGACCTCGCGACGGCCCGGGACCCAGTAGCCGAGACGCTGGAGCCCTGCCTGCCTGCCTGCGTGCCAGCCTTAGCGTGGTGGAAAAGTAGATGCATCCAGTGCCGACCCCTATCACAACCGTGGCCTCAGCCTCTCTCCCCAGTGGGACCCTTTTCACCGAAATCGTGGGCTTGATTTTCATTGATTTTTTATTCTATTTTAATGGCTTGGTGGAGATTCAAACCACCAATTGATTCTGTGCTCTCACTCAACCTGATATGAAGGTGTCAATGATTTGGGCTCCTGCTGTCTCCAGACATGTGGCACTCACTTTGCTCTGAAATCAGTTCTTAGATTTTTGTTTTACCCTCTGTCGCGTTTGTTTGTGGCCAGGGAGGGAGGGGTTTTGAATACCAGATTGCTGCTGCTGCTACCAGTTCAGCTGCTTCCCCACCGGGACACCATTTCATTCAGAAAAATCTTAGTCTTCCTCTCCTTTCTTTAGGTGCCCCATGATCTCTGCTGTGAGGCCTGTACAATAATGTGATCCATTATTGTACAATAAATTTTTCATTGTTCGCGACTCAGATAGGTGTTTCAAGCTAAAGAGATTGCTTTTGTGAACAGAAGGATTCCAAAGAGGGCATGGAGTTTGGAAAAACAATAAGATCCAAACAACACACACGGTGGATGATATTCATAAATTTTTGTAGTGTTTAAAATCCAATGGGTTTTTTGGGGAAAATCATACCTTAGTATACATGTTTGGTGGCGTCAGTAATTAATATCGAAGTCAAAATCGAACTAAGTAGAAGAGTAAAAGTAAAAAAATGTTCTTATACTTTTTTTGAAATTTTTATTAACAAATTTAACATAGTATTTAATTTTTAAAAAGTTGTATCCTCATAGATAGATAAATTGATAAGTCTTGATAAATAACTAAATAATAAAATGATGATTTTAAAATCATTTATATGGATTACCTCCATGAATGTAAGCAAAAAAATAGCACAAATCATTTTATTTCTTATTTCTTGTAAGTCATAAATAGATATATGTGAAATATTTGTATGAGCTTTCTCACATAAAAAAAGAAGACAAAAAGAAAGAATGAAAGAGTTTTAAACATGCCCAATAACTTCTTTAAATATATATATATATATATATATATATATATATAACTATAATAGTTTTTATTCTACAAGATTTTTTTAATATCAATTGTAAAAACATTAATTCTATTGGAATTTCTTTGAGGAGTTCTTGAATTTTTTATGTAATTTATAATAAGTCTTTATAACCTTCTAAACATGGTAGAGCAACTAGGTTGTCATTTACAACATGAATGTTTTTCACACTTGAGTAACTTTAACATTTTCTCAATCTTCAAATATACAAATGCCTAAACTATTAATTTTTTTATATATTTTTTATGTAATTTTAAATAATTAGAATTAAATATCTAAAGTCATATATTTTTATTTATTTTAATATCTAAAATATTAAAAGTACCAACATGTATTTATCAAAACATGTCTCAAAATTTCAGGAAGTTTCAGCTAAAATATTTGAGAAAACTATATTAATAATGTAAATAAAAAAAATAAAAAGAAAAAAATAAAAGTTCAAGAATATTCAAAGATAATTGTTATTCATATCAAACATTACAATCTTTTATTAGCACACAGCCAACACATATTTTGAGAGTGGCCAACTTGTAGTCATCTTAAATTTGGTTGTAGTATCATTTAGTTCTCATAGTTCATCAAGCCATTATGTAGCCTAACAAGACAAATAACCATTTGTCTAATGGACCGATATCATATTGTAAAAGCTTATAGTGTGTAAAAATTATTTAAAATATATTATATATTAATAAATCTAGATGTATGTTAGAATAGTTAATAGATTAATTTAAAGAGAGTGGATATAAAAAAAACTTTATTTTGAATTTTATCTATTTTGATTATAGCATTTAAAAAAATTATAAGATCTAAATGTTTAGTATGAAGCCTTGAGAGGAGATTAGAGCCTAAAGAAAAAAATCTTAACTAGTAGGAGGCTTGTTGGGAGGGATCGAAGTAAGGCATGGTTGGATAAAGGCAAGGAATGGAAATCTTCATTCCTATTGGTCAAAAGCCATGCCCAATGGGCTTCAAGGAGACTGCCTGAGGCCTTATTAGGAATTAGGGTTTTTCTTTTGAAGTCATTCGAGCATTGGAGGCTAAGATCAGAAATTTTAGGATTTTAGGTACAGATTGGATGCAAGTTTTTTGTGATTTGGAGTTTTTATGAAGGAGTTACTGGCGCTCAAAGTTAAGGTGTCAATTTCATACCTACTGTCACTCTTTGGAGCATAACATACATTTATGGAGAGCAACAAAGCATCGGTGATTGGGATTGGAGAGAGAACTTCTTTGACTATACTTTTCATATATTTTTTGATGAATTTGGAGTTTGGATGAAGAAGTTATAGAGAGTTAAAGTCAGCACATCCAAATCAAGGCAATAAGTAAGTGATTTTGTTCATAGTAATGGTTGGAGCCATATCTTGAGGTTTTGGATGAATTCTTGGCTCAAATCTTTTGGAAAATGTAGGTTATTGTGTTGAAAAGCTATAAATTTAAATTTTGTGGCATTTGAGTGCTTAGTTTGTGGAATATGAAGAAAATTGCACGTGGATATATAAAAACTAGGGTTTGAAGCTAATGTTAGGGTTTAGGTGATATCTTAAGATCCACAATGAATTTGCAGTTGAAATTTGTTGTAGTAGTTGTTAGAAGTACATCTGTACTTTTTATAAAATTTGAGTGTGTTTGAATAGTCTGATTGGAAGATATGAGTTGTTGAAGTTCAAGAATAATACTCCATAAGGATATTTAAGGATTTAGAGGTTTTATCATATTTTGGATGTTTGGGGAACTTAAGACTTATATATTTGGTATAATAGCACCTAAAAGTATTATATATATATATATATATATATATATATATATATACAAACTTGGTCTATCTCATCTCAAAACTTGATTGAGCAATTAGTGACAGCTAGGAGCCTAATACTTTCTTGAGGCAAACTCTCTTTACCCCAACACCGGAGTTGGATGCTAGTTGCTTGTGTATTTACATTAAAAAGTCCCTAAATATAAAGTAAAGGCTTATGTTATTATAATCTAAAGATGAGACCCATTTTAAGTAATTAGTTACTATAGATCTATCTTAGCTAAGTGTACAGCTTTTATAGATTTATATCTTATTTTCTTTCACATGGCAATATATTTCTCATGCTTTCTCACAAAATATAGAATAATATATACAGCTTAGTTTCCTTGTGTTTGCTAAATATCAATAAAATTCAATTATTTTCTTATACCATTTTATTTTAAAGATTACAAGCACTTTATTTGATATAATTATTATACTAAGTATTAATCATCTATCTTAGATACACAATTAAATTTTTATTGAAAAAAAATATTTTTAAGACATTATAGTTACTCACTTTAAAATCCAATCTTAGTCTTTTTGTTTGATTAGTCTTTTTGTTTAGTCCAAGCATACAATTGCAGTCCTATAAAGTATTTTCTACAAAAAATAAAATAAATAAAAACATAGATACATACATATGTACATACTAATAGATTGTGTTCTATTTGCCATGTTTTTTTTATTACAATGAGAAATAGATAAATATAGAGGATTTAGTTGAAGTAAGAATTATTTAGGTAAATTTTTATATTTATAGTTATAAAGTTTTAAGATAAGTTTTTGAAAAGTGGGCCTTGAATGCTTGATGTGTTTGAAAGCACATGAATATCTTTTTGTAATAAGATTTTTTTAAATTTTTTTCTATAGTCTTCTTAAGTATATATATATATATATATATAAGGAAATGATAAAGCAACCAAAGTTCTTACTAAATCAACCCATCATAGACAAAGAATTATTGCATCCACATCTGTGTTCCCTCTGTTCGCATGTTCTTAGCCTCAGTCCACGGTTTCAACCACTTTCCTATGTCCTGATCTTCCTTCTTCTATCCTACTTGCATGGAAACTAGCCATTGTATATGTACCTCTACTTGAGGTCTTTTCTTGCTTGCCATAGAATGAATTGAGTAGCAACAACTTTTTTAATGTCTGTATGTATTGAAGTATGTTTCAACGCATAAATAACAGTTATAAAAAGAGCCATAAAGTATCCACATCCTCCTTATGGCCAAGCCTTCATAATTCTTTAGCAATTTTTTATAGCAATGAATTCTTTCTTTTTGCCCAATGAAGGATTAGGATTGAATCATTCTAGATTGCCATTGGAAATATAGAGATTAATAAGCTTTGTGAAGAGATCCTCTACTTCTTGCATTCTCCACTTTTTTAAGAGCAAAAAATTAAATGGTGTCCTACTTGGTCAATTTTCTACTAACATTCCTCCCATTGTTCTTAAAGAGAGTACCAAAAAACTATCAACAAAAAATTCTTGTTCATTACTCAAGAAGCCAATAAATTCTCCATATATGAATCGCATGGAAACAATTGTATACTTTAAGAATTTTTGCAATGTGAAGTTATTTTTGAAGAAGCAAAGTATAATGATTTGCAATTCTTTACTTCATTTAAGTTCTTTTATGAAAAAAAATTCAATTCAACTTCACAATTCATACCATGATCTTACTCAAAAGCTTCTTTGCTTTACCAATGAATATGTTTATTAAAATTTATATGATTCTAGTTCCACAAGACAATGCAATTCTACTGAGAATCCAAAAGAGTTTGAAGTGTCTATCAACTCTCATTCCATTGTGAAAAGCTTAAAAGATAGAATATTGCTACTAGAAAAGTCCATTAAATATTTTCTTAAAGAGGTAGAAAACTCTTTTTTAAAGTAGATACAATATTACAAATCCCTCTCATGTCAACCTAACATAGAAAGGAGAATCAAAAGTGTGAATTGCACACCTTTAAGCTTAGAATTCCAAGATGCTAAGGATAGGATTCAATTTATAAACTTTTTGGCAACCTTCAAGCTTTGCTTGGGACTCACAAAGATAATAACATCTAATTATGGCCTTGTAGATGGTGGTCATACTTACAATAAAATATATGCGTATATTTGTAAGCCAAGTAAAATATTGACATGATTCAAAGCTAAATATTAAAACTAACATTTAAAAACATATTCATAACATACAACTACACACCACTAATTGATGTTTTTTTGTTCTTATGTATATAACAATGGAAATCCTTAAGTAAATCTAGGTTTTACTTTTGCTTTGTGTGAATCAAAAAATGTTGCATCCTTGGTTTTGTACAATCCCACCTATTGACATTCCAAGACAATCTCAGCCTTTGATGGAACACATCTTGTTTCTATCACTCTGAGGTTGAAAAACTAAATCCATAGTCATATTTGAGATTATTAATTTTGGTTTTTTTGCAATACTTCATAGAGTTTTGTAACTTTTGTTACTTGTATTAACATTGTATTGAGATTTTGCATATTTTGTTTCTTTATTTGTTTGTATTTAGTTTGAATATAGAAACCCTCTATAGAACAACTAGCAATCTACTCTTTCAGAAGTTAGCTCCAATATCAATCTTATACATGAATCTTTTGCTTCAGAAAACCATTTCTTGAAACTACAAAAATTATACAGTATTATATCTTTAATGAAACTACAAAAATTAGTCCATTAAAGGTATAATGATTGGAGGAGAGGACCCTCGCTTTAGGTACATAAGCAGCATCCAGTTCTTGGACAAGCAGGATGGATGAAGGGAGATTAAGACACAAAAGAAGAGTTGAGAACATGGACTAAGGCTGGGAACATGGGAACATGGAGGACAGGACAAGGATGCAACAATTCTTCATCTATAGTGGGTCGATTTAATAAAAAATTGAGTTGCTTTATCATTTTTCTATACATATTGTCATTTAATTTGACCATATTAAGCAAAAAAAACACCTTAAAATAATGTTGTATTAGATAAGTACAAAAGAAAAATCTATCTAAGATATTAGACTATATTTAAAAAATAATAAGATAGATAGGAGTCACTTTTAATAGTGCTGTAAAAAGTTATGATCAAGTGATGATACTAAGGATACAATATCAAAAAAATTACTTTATAGGTAGTGTAGTGGGCAAGTTAAGAAGTATAATTAAGTATTATTTTATTATCTCTTAAAATATTAAAAAAAAATACATACAAATTAAATAATTATATATTTTTCAAACTTTTTCTATTACGTGTATTACTTATGGCACTATGTAATGTTTTAAACGGAAATATGACATTTTATTAAAGTAATAATAAGAGTTATCACATAAACCAACTACTGGTTTCATACAAAACAATTCATTAAAAATATTTTCTCCATGAATAAAACGTAACTATTTAATGAGTTTATTAGTAGAGCAAGAAGTATATTAAAAAAATTATTCATTAGATTCAAATTTTAACCAAATTTGCAGCAAATGTTGCAAAAAAGATGAACTACTATTCTGTAACCACTTTGTCACTGAAATTTATGTTAGCTAGCCGTTCTTGTGTTCAATATCTGAAGTCTTCTCATTTGATATGCGACATATTTACCACTTTACGAACCAATCTTTCTTTTAAGATGTGCAAAACGAGCAAAGAGACCAGGAAGTGTACATCGACCTGCACCATAGCTCCCATAAAAGCTTCTCTCAGTGATCACAGGAGTTGTACAAATAGTAGTATCACCGTTACATGGAACCATAGTTGGCACGTAGGAATCACCACTGCGGTCATGCTAGTGTACAGATTCATTATTCAAATAATGGGACATAGCTATCAAATGTGGAGGCATGCGCCAAGAATCTTCAGTCAATATATTCGTGTAAAGAGGGGCTTAAAAGTTACCAAGAGGGTCGCAGAGAAAGGGAGTTACTGCCCACAACTTCTTGTCATCTTAGACTGCGCCAATGTAGATCGCGACTGCTCTCACTGATTAAATGGTACACGTTGGCAGCACTATTGAATTGGGTTAAACAGTTCAATCTCGGAGAATGGTCGAAGATTGCGTAACGCCTAAAAATGTATCAAAATTCTAATGCACAGGTGAAGATACACGAGTCTTGATGGGTTTCAGCTTCAATCCAAGGCTCTCGGAAGAAAGAAGCTCCGGGGGCATACAGGGTGGACTAAGGGGGCTCTTCGGGCTGGACGTAAGGGATAGCAACGGGCGTTGATAGAACGCATAGCCTGTGAGAAACAACTCTATTGGGATCAGCATGGACTGCGGCCGCTCTTCCGTTACTATAGTTCCACAACCTTCAACCTGTAACAAAATGCGAGATGGTCAAATTATATGTGTGGAACAACATTCAATTTTTTAAATGTAGTGTTACATAGACTGTAGGCTCTGCTGTTGGTGCATACTGGCAGTCAGGAAAACCAATCTGACCTCAATCAACGCATTGTAACGTCTGTTCATGGCATCGCTGATGTGCACAGCTTCCCGGTGAAATGGAGATTGGTCGCCAACTAAGATCAGTGTTCGACACTTCAGTTTCTTCAAATTCTCGGTCAAATCTCGCCTATATTGAATTGCTTGCAAGTAGTGCATGACTTGCTTACTCCGCCTGTCATCCATGGACTGCACGTCATCAAAGCACAAAATGGGTCAGGTCTTGAGTGGAGAGAGCAACGAGCAAGTCATCAAGGCTACTAACCATCACCACTCAAACTCCATAACTCGCTCTCTCGGGAAGTGAGCCAACTTACTCGACGGAAGGTCATTAGTGGATCTGTATCTCCAGCTGCGGCAGAGGCATCGCGAACTTCCTAAAAACATAAAAGACAGATCATATTAACACTCTAAGCCTCTTCAAAAAGAAAATATTTTACGAGAAATCGTTCACTACGGGCAGGGAGCACGATGGGTGCTTACCGCACTGAAATAACGCTGGAGTAGCTTCTCTTTGACGAATCCGGTCATACCGCAGAAATACAGAAGGCTGATCAAGGCCTGAAACTTCCTACAGTCAGTAGGGGTCTCCTTGGTGGAAGCTGGTACATCAAACAGGTGACAGGAGATTGCGAGATTTATAAAATAAATAGACACATGAAAAACTGAATTCGTGTGCTGGCAGACCTGATTGTTCAGCCATTCCGTCCAACTTGGGGTTCGAGCAAGAGGTGATACTAAGATCAATCCCAACGCACGGTCCGTATACTTGCACTGGACATCCACCATGACTGATCAAATAAGTCGTTGTACTCAGAATGCACAGTACTTGGAGGAGGTACTTGCATGTTTCAAATGACTGCTTCAAGGCTAGATTATGCAACTTACCGCAAACAGACTGAGAACATACGCTCCACCGGTGACTCCCATGCCAATCACTTCATCCAGTCTGAAATTTCGCGTAACACAGGCGAGATGGCTCAGGTTGAAGTCCATGGTCAATCTTTGAGGCCAAATTCCAATGTTCTGGAGGATGAAAGAAGAGTGAAAACTTACCCGAAGTAATCTAAGACTTCGGCTACTTGGTCTGCTAAATCATCAACAGACAAAGGCGGCTTCTCAGGACTGCTTTCAGGTGTTCCAATCTCGTGGCCAGGTGGGTCGATGTGAAATATGCAAAAGTTATGAAAGAGCACCGACGATGCCTCGGGACAAGAGAACAGTCCCTCAAAACAGGATAGATCTGCACTCACAGCAGATATCAGGCTTCCTTTGTCAGACTCGAACACAGTCAACAATGATAGCAATTCATCTTGCTTCTGGAACATCGGACGCCATGTCTAAGCTTGACATTGTTTTAATCAGTAAATCCGGTGGCTTACAATTCAGTCCAACGTCAGGATAGGTAACGAGGGCAGGTTTATCTTGATCCCCGCAAACGGTGACTGAAATGGGGCCATATGAGGTTGACACCATGTACTCCTGCGATCAAATTGTTAAGACAGCAGAGATTGAGAGAACTGTAACATCGTATCACGAAATGCAGAGACCCTTTAACCCACTCTTAGAACCTCGTTTGGGACATCATGCCCCCGCCAAATTAACGTCGGCTGTACCCACTACACAATCGTAAAACAATATCGACAGCATATCTACGTTCCGAAATTCTACGGCTACTGCCTAACACTTCACATAGAGCTCTATATGACATCTGTAGCGGTCACTTTGAATTCAAGAAGCTTCACTAAGCAATACTAAACTCCCACCACATCCCGTAAACAGAAAATGACTCCGCTCGTCAAGGGTGCTTCATATTGCCATATCCTCGCAATCAATTACCCTTAACGATTGTAGAACCATGTCCAGGAGGTGACGATGAAGTTGCGTTACCCTGCTCTGACTCTCCTATCCACCTAGAGATTCAACTTGGGTGTATTTGAATACGCACTAAGCCAGGACTCTAAAATATCCACCAACTCAGAAGAAGAAAACGCCCATACCTGTCCTCCCCATGGGGCAATGTCCATATCCAGCGCAATAGAATCGCATCCATACTCCATTCTGAATAATATACCCTTGGGAGAATGCAAAATCCCTGAATATCACGCCCCCTCCTTCCACTACATTGAATGACTCAATATCTCGTCTCAAAGCACAAATCGCACTCCCTTTCGAAATAATGTCCCCACCACGCTTACGAACCCAATCGTCCACTTCTTCCGCTTCGATGCACCCTCAAACTCACTATCCCATAACATACGCTTCCCCACTCAGCTCTGATGAGTTTAACTCTTATCTCGAGCAACTCATCTCCTGAAGGTCGCGATTAGTGGGCGACATTGCCAATGGAGGTACAAAAAAACAAAAGGCTCACGTAATGTACATTGATGAGCGAGAGCAGCGAATGTTTACTCGTACTTGAGAAGTAAGGTTCTGATTCTGACAATGCTAACTATGGTTTCATCATCTCACAGGAGATGATGCATGAAGGCTGAGAGCAAGTGACGGGGAGGCTGCGACAGCTATGGTGTGAGTGAGGACGGGACAGGACGGAAGCGGGGACGTAAGCTACTCAACCACGAGGAGGAGGAGGACCCCCATCCTTCGCCCCAAGACTATGCACCAAGTCTGCCTTAAACCAGCCAGGGAAGTCAGTCTTCGTCTCGGCTCTCGCCCCAGCCCTCCTTGCTTTGCAAACCTAGCGTGGTGCCTACCTACTGACTGCCAACTTTTCCTACCCTCCACATTTCCAACCCTGCGGGATGCTGAGTGCCAGCTCGGCCAGATCTCGTGCCAGAAGGCACGAGACTGGTGGGTCTCCCAAGCGCGGTCCTGCCTGCCAACCGGTTGCAGGTTTTCGGTTTCTCTGCAGGTCTTGTGTTGATTTAGGGCCAGATTTGCTGTGACTGTGGCAAATCTGGCGACCACGTTGAGCTGTCTTGTGGGCCGGCTTGTTCTACCAGCGACAGCTCAGCTGGCTGCTGCTACTGCTACTGCTGCTGCACCAGACTCTCTCTCATGATTTCGGAAGCTACTCCCAGGGAAAACTCAGCATGTCTTGACGGCTTTTTGCCACTACCACTCAAATGCAGGATTCCGGGTGCGCTGCGAATCTTGCTATGGATTTAGGTAAGGGAATCGATTCTCATGTAGTCAAGCAAAGCACATGGTGTAGAAGAAGCGTGTTGGCACGAGGCGGAGGCGGGACGGAAGGGCTTCCCAGCGACCATTTACGACTGACTGGGAACGTGAAGCTGGCTTTGTCCGGAAAGGGAGGGAGGGAGGGAGGGACAGGCCCCGCCCGCTTTGTTGGTGTCATACCGTTGCTGATGCTGCTGCAGTGGACATCGTCGAATATTCCATCTTCCGCCTCCATAGCCTGGATCCCCCTTCTCTGTTGCAACGGCAACCCACCCATCTCCACGCAATCCAGGCCTACCCCTCTCCCTCCCTCCCATTCTTTCGCCAGCCTGTCCCCGTGCTGCTTCTCATACTTGGCTGCCAGTTCCCCTCTCAGCTTTGGATTCCCTAGTTCAATATCTGGACTGGCATCGCCCTGGTTTTACTCGGGTATCTATCTGAACCCATTCAGGGTATCAACTCACCGTTACTGAAGCAACTGGTGCGCCGGTGCATAATGGAGCTGCCAGCTGTAGAGCACGTCCAGCCTGGACCCCTTGATTTCCTCGTCCGAGCTGGCATGGAACCCCCCCGCATGCGAGGTTTGCATTGGCTGACAGGGATCCTGCAACTTGTTTGGAGTTAGATGGATTGTTTGGATTAAACGAGCAATTGGTTTTGGATTAATGTGCAACTAATTTTCTATTTGGTGTTAGGACCACATAAAATAAAAATAAATTTATAATTATTAAAAAAAATAAAAACTGGATTGACTCATATTTTTTTAATACAAAACACCAAATATTATCATTACATTTCATGAAATGCATGTGCACCAAGTATGTACATGTTGAAGAGGTTTTAGAACATTAAGGTTCAAATGAATAGACACGAATCTAGGTTGCACTTAATTCTTTCTATCGAAACTAATGACATCCCCCCCCCCTCCAAAGTCGTCATTTAATACTTCGTTTTCTTACAGAAGCAACTTGATTTTTAAAAAAGCATTATGAATATTTGAAACTACATAAATCATAAATAAAACGTGAATTTCACACTGGTTGAATCCCATATTTACTTATATATTTAAATTTCATTTAGCCCGAAAATAACTAATTCGGCTTATAATTATTTTTTACCTTTTACTTTTTTTTCTTTTAGCTCTGTCTCACCAACATTTTCAAATTGGATGCACATATTGGTAACAAACTAGGATAAGATTTTTGGTAGACAAATAGTATGAAATGTGTGCAAATGCAAATCTAACTAAAAGTAAAAAATGAATCGTCCTCCAAAAAATGCGGAAACACTGGCTGTTTTACGATCTTTTAGTGAATGTGGATCTCAATGATTTTAACCTACTTAATAGAATTGAACTTAATATATTCATTTTAAAAACAGATTAAATCAAACTTTACTAGTACAGGCAGATAACGACCAACTTAACAACCAAATATAAAATTACACAAAAGCCTCTCAAACAAATAGATTCACACATACAAATTAAAAGCTTTATGGAAAACAAAGCCAGTATGAAATTCAAGTGCTAAAGAACAGAGGTATAAAGCTGTACACAGTAATCACATAATGTACAGATATTTCCCAATGGCTTCAAGACAAACCAACAAGATATGAACGACCAATACATATCAACTGGAATCATTTGAATAGACTTGAATGTTTAATTCCAGCATAAATTCTGGTCAAATAATCAACACCATTCGAATAAACTAGTCGCGCTCGCTGATGGCCGTGAGGTGCTCGTCAATCTCTTCAGTTGACAGAATGCGGAATTCTGGTTTGCCAACTCTGACTACGCCAACCTGTCATCCAGATGGGTTCCCACAAAAAAATAAGTATTACCGATCAAGATCTTGTAGTGTGCTTCAGTATGTAAAAATATGCTAAAGCCATACATAAGAGTAGAATCGAAAATCAAGAAGTTCTGAGTCATGATCAAAATCATTCAATAGTTACATTGTAGGGAGTATGGACAAGCAAACAACTTCAATACTATAGCAACAATGACTTCAACAATTGATCCATTGGTCGATCTCATAATACTAAAACTATTTATTTTCAGTAATCTTCAAATTTCATCGCACAGACACAATGTAAGCCTTCATGATCCTTCATCTGGAGGCACCCAGTACGTTAAACAATGAACATACTGAAGATTGATAGAATTACGTACAGTGCACATACAGATCACATTATCATTATGTCAAAACAACCCAAAGAATTAACGTATCATAATATTTCACCATGAAAATGAGAATTTGTCCTTAAACGATATTATTGGAAAAAAAACCTCCGCATGCAATATGAACTATATCACAAGAAGTTGAAGCAAAAAGTCTACCTCTATTTCAGTGGGTTTGAAGTCCTCTAAAAGAATCGATTGCAACGCTGAAATTGCAGTCTGGTGAGTTCCTCAGACACAAGAAAGAATTTCATCAGATCATTCCCATACATTGAGACTGCCAAAAATCCACAAAGCCAGACATTGCAAGAATAGGAACCAATGGGAAATAAATTGATACGCACTTGCACAGTGTCTTCGAAGGAAAGTTGTGGATCATTCTTCATCTTCTTTTCCAGGAAATTTACTGCTTCTTGCTCCTTAGAGCCAGAGCTGGTTGCCTGCATAGTGAAACAACATGATGTCAAAGCAAAAAAAATTAAGATCCAAGCTATTTAGCCAATATCTAATATGGTGGGTAGTTGCTAAGCGAATATCATGCATCATAGTAAACTACAAAGTTTTAAAATTACGATTAATTGCCGTTGTTCTCACGAATATTATGTGAGGCAGGAATGGGCTCGAGCAGTTGATTACAGATACTAATTTACTACATCAGGTAAAACGACAAACTATTAGTTGATTCAAAAACTGATACTAAAATTGATATTTGCCGAACATATGGAATAATAACAATGTGACCGACAACTACACTAACCTTATATCCAAAGTAGTGACCAGCCGGATCGCACTTATAAAGCTGTGGACCTTGTTCATCATCAATCCCAATAAGCATAGCAGCTGTAAGGCACCCAAAAATAGGACATAATCAGTCACCTGTAACAGCAGGCACGAGGGTTTTACCCCACTACAATGAAAATAAACCCATCTGATGCAATACATCATTTCAACGGTTCAAGAATATGATTCACAAGAGTACAATGAAGACAGACCAACTTGATCATCGTCTTCTCATGACAGGGAGTGTCTATGATAAATAAAAGACAATAATGAAAGTCTTTGAAGGCATCAGACTTGATGTTAAGTCGATAATTGGTGCTCATAATTCTCGTGTACATCAAGTATTTGAAGTGCAGAAAGACTAGGACTTACCTCTACTCCACAACAACTCATCCTAATGACGTTAATACCCAAACTCACTCAAATCCTTATGGATTTAGATTAACGCCAGCATCCTAAACACTTCATGTTTATCCAACATACTAAGTATTGCCACAGTTCTGAACTTCCTAAACCATCATACAACAAAACAGGATAGATGCCACTATGAGAGGGAGGTAGATGCTCACAAACACCAAGTGGCCGCATGTATGCATGCTGGGTGTAGACTTGTGACTTATCAGCAAGTCTGTTCCAAACAAATCAACCATATTCAGGCAAGGTATAACCAAATCGATACGGCTACACACTCTTCCCGCTGAGGTGCAATGTTATAAAGCAGGCATAGATAGTCGACACCTTCTACTCGTTTTACAGGTCAGGTTGATTAAGACATTATATCTCATGAGATTAGTAAATCATCCAATTCTCGACATGCTGTTAACAGATCTACTAAGAATTCAGGGCTCATTCACCCACATTTTCTAAAATCATTTACTGTTCAGTAGTACTTGCGAAATTGCTGTTAAGAGTGAAATGGAATCAAACATGTCTCACTAACTTAGTTTCAGACATGAAAACACACCTCTTTGCCAAATAGTCAACGGGTATCTCATAACCCAATTTGAACTTGAACTCAGCTGCCTCATTTCGAGCATGAGCTAACAAGGATTTGGCGTCAGCTACATGTTTCGGCACCAGACATCAGACACAAGATTATTAAACTCCGAAAGTATATGAGGACGAAGTAAACAGTCCATCAACTTCATGTGTTCAGAGCTTCGCAAAAACACTACTAAATTTGGCTTTGCCCCATTATACATCTGTAAGTTGTATACTTAAGAAAACAAATAAAAAATATAAATAAACAAAAAAAAAAATGTCTCACCAGTCATGCCGGTGGCAAGAAGACCAATATACTTTGTGACAGCAAAAAGATGCGTGACACTAGTCTGATCAAGCAATTTATCCTGCAAAGCACATCACATACAGAAACGTTACTCATACGATGATGGCCGATATCCAAGGAAACAAGAGCTAACAAATGAAAGAACTTTCAACAACCATCTACCCGAAACCCTAACAAAGACCCTCCAGGGCAATCCACTCACCGGCACTTTCTTCTGAGTCACGAAACACACTGAATCATTCCCACGAACCCCAATGGAAGTAATTCCAGCTGCTTTGACGGCCTTGAAAGCATACTCTAAGAATTCACCAACAACCTCAATCAAATCAAGTCACCTGGTAGCACAAAACACAATCATCGACTCCAACTACGACCCAGAAACAACCAGCGACCATAACCATCATATAAAAGAGCTCAAAAGAACACAAAATCCAATCATAGAAATCCTTTATCTCAGAAACATCTACCGAGAGACGAATTAACCATGCTAAGAAATTTGAGAAATTGCACTCACCAACTTGATATAGACGCCCTTCTGGTGAGAAAATGGTGATGTGCCGATCATACCCAGCTCCCGATCCACGACTCATCTCGATCGAGAAAGACTTGCTGCTTGAGTTTGGTGCAAAACCTTGTCAATATCAGTTTGAGTTTGACCCGGACAGAAAGAAGGGAGTTCGAGATGTTATAACAAACCCTAAACCCCTTTCCAAGGCAAAGCAATTCTCGTTTGAATTATCGCCTGCGAGGATGGTTTGGTTACCGGCTCTGAATTTCTACGGGCACGGTGTAAGGACCCCAACCCTCGTGGTGCCAAGGTCCCTTACCCACAAAGTGAGACCTCGTCCACATCCCAAATCAGGATTGCTTCATTAAAAAAAATTGGGAGTCTGAGAATATATGCCTCACTAATGTAGTAAAACGTTATTTATATCATGATGATTGGCATCAAAAGAATAAAAACAGATAATTCTCAACTAAAATAAATAAACATTTAATCTAGATGAAATGCATTCTTGTTCATGAATATTAATTTGAGATTTTTTTGTAATTTTAATTCTTTTCTAATTTGAGAATTATAAAAATAATAATTTATATTTAAAATTTAAGGAAAGTTAAGGATTATTTTTACAAATTTAATTAATTTATAGCTTTATATAAACTATTTATAAAACTATAAAACATTCTAACACTAAAGACCTTGCTTTATTGTGAAGTAATATGTTTAAGTAATTCATTGATATATATATATATATATATATATATATATATATAATCACAAAAAAACACCATACTTAAAAACTTTACAAATATATTTTTATTAATATCATACAAAATCTTTAAAGTTTGAGAACACATAATAATAATTATAATAATAATAATTTTTCTTCTTAATAGTTTGTCTATATGTATATTCATACTTGTGTTTTTTATTTTCTTGATACAGGCATAATTAAATTCATTTGTATTGGAAATTATAGCTGAGCTAAACATTTGCATCAAACTTAATCTTGTACTTGATTACTTTTGAAAGAATTATATTGTTGATTTTCTAAGTCTTTTAGAATTCTTTTGTTTTATGTTAGGTATTCCATGTCCACTAGTCAACTTACAAAAACCTTATATATTAGACCACACTTGAATCAAATATTAACATGTTCTCATGAATAATTAGGAATAAATTTTTGCATTTATCTTTATTAATCCACATTGTGGGATTGTTATTTTTTTTTTATTTTTCTAATATAAATCAATTCTGAATATATCTTATTTTTGTTTTAATAACTGAAATAAAATTAAGTTCTTAATGTATAAATAATTTGAATAATATGCACTTTATTAAATATTGAGTATTTTTTGTGTCATCTTTTTAATCTTCAACAAAAATTGCACACACAATAATAATCATAATTTTTTTTATACAAGCTAAACCACCATTTATTAACATGAAGGATTCTATAGACAATGCTTTTCTAGAACAATGCATCTTCAAATGCATCATTCAAATGATTTGTTCATTCTTAATTAATTGGCATACCCTACATAGAATAATATTTGTACCTTGCTACTATAATGTTCTTTCTATGACTTACTTGCTAGATTGTAACTAGTTATTTGTCTTAGGTCATAGTTAAGGAATCTTCTTCATTATAAAAAATATTGGATATTGATAAAATTAGATGTAAAATAAAGAAAATTCAATTTTATTATTGGACATATCTATTCAAGTTTTTCTACATATTGTTTAACTTATGACAATAAGCATTCTATAGAAGTATTTTATTTTATAAACTATACTATTATTAAAAATTTCTAATTAATAAAAACAAATAAATTATTGATAATTTTATTTTGATAATAGATGCCTAAATAAAAATTTCTATCTAAATACAAAAATATAATCTTTTTTTTATAAATCTACAAACCAAGTCAAAAACTTTTCATGCCAATAATAAAAAAAAAAATTAAAAATAAAAAAATAAAAAAATCCTAAAATCGAACCATATAATGAGATGATAGCATACTTTATTATTACTTTTAATAAATCTTAGTGATATATCAAAGATGAATTATCAAATTTTAGAACAAAAATTATCTAAATTCAATTCTAATTATCAGCTACTAAAAAGGATCTTATTTTGATTAATTTAATAATATTCTTTTCTTAGGATTATAATTTAATTAGAGTATACATAGTTCAAATATTTCACATATAAGAAATTCGAATAATGCTAAAATTACTAAAATAAAAATATACTAAAGAATGAAGAATCAAAATATCTAAACTTGGAGGCAATGTTTATTAAATACAAGTACTTTCTACAAAAACAAAACCATGGAATTAGACATCCTTTATAATAGTAATAATAATAAATAAAAGTTATAAAGACAAAGCTAGCTCATTACAAACCTTTCCACAGTATTAACAATGACACTAACAAAATAATCTTCCAACATTTTGAGAATCAATGGTATTGACATTATATAAAAATATATGCATATTGAGTATTTGGATTTGCCATAGTAATGCACTTTTCTATATGATTTCTGGAAAAACCTATATTGAAAAAGAAACTGTCTCCCTTGTTGTGAAAAAATTCAACCAATTAAATAAAATAATTTATTTCAATAAAAATCAAGTTCAAATGCAACTAAAAAACTCCATATCTTTGCTAATAGAATAAGAAATAATGATTCAATCCTTCATTAATAAATAGATGCAAATATGAGACTCATTTAGTGATGTTGCATCACATCCTAATGTGACCAAAATATTCATCTAACTACTACAGAAAGTCAAGGGTGTCAAAAAAACAAAAACAAAAAAAACACGAAGTGGTGCAGAAGATCGTCAGGTTGGATGCAATTCTGAGGATCTTGTGCACAAATCTCGACAGACGAAGGAGGAATCGGTAATCACAAACCCATGAATCAAAGAGATACAATGCCCGACGTCATCAGCATCGACTGCAGCTATTTGCACGAAGAACATTGCACAGTGCATGACACGGAACAGTATGAGAAAATAGATATACATAGAAACAAAACGTCCATGGCAGTGATCTGATCAACGTGGCGCCGCTCTTCGATCATCCGAAGTGCGGCGCTTATTTACTATGCAAACTTCCAAGCTGTGTTGCTGGGTTGGTGGCTTCCATCCAAGCAGTAGAACATATCAACACTACAGTCCGTCCACCGCACACTGCGTGGGAGAAGCGAATGCACAACACAGTCGCACACTTCTCCTACACATTTCGGCAACGAGAGACCGGGCAGACTTTGCCACCACAGTCTACCCAGTAGTCGGACATCCACCCGGAAGTCGAACCATATTTTACGTACAGCCAGTAGCAGTCGCCGTGTACACATTCCCCTGGAATCCTGCAATAAACCGTCACTTTCTTGCGCTTCGGGACTACTTTCAAGCGTGAACATTTGCTGTTGTTTGAATTCGGAGGGTAGTCCGGGTGTCCATCCTTGTTCTTGTCGCAGTTACGAATCCACACGTTTCCTTTCGTATAGTATTCAGCCGCGATTGCAGTCTCAGCCAAGAGCAACGAGACCAAGATGGTGGCAGCGACCATGACCACAAGCCGTGACCTGCACAAGGAGATATCATATCAACGCAATTGTCAGTGGAGTGAACAAATTACACGGCATCCTGCATGGTCTGTTTCAAGCCTCCCAAGTGCATGTAAGAATGAGACTTTGATCGATCCAGGAGAACACTCACTGCAGCAGCTTCTGGGACCCCATGGCGATGGAAGATGGCAAACTGTCTCTGTCTCCGACGGCGAATACACGAGGTGGTCAGTCACTACACGATGCGGAAATAGATTGTGAGTACCGCTTGGCAGGAAGGCCATATATACGCTTGCTCGGCCACTCACCTGTCTTTCCGACGCCCTTGATGCCTCACGCTCCAAGGCCTTTTGACCTCGACCTCAGGTGCGATGTCACAGATTTTCAACCTTCGAGTGCCACTTGTGAAGCTCCACACAAACATGGAAGCCATCCCCAAATTTCAACATGCAAATTTAACATTACAGAGGCGTATTCCACATGTAAGGTCTAAGCCAGCTGACGTCAACTTTCTAAATATCACTGGACTTTACTAATCTTGTCTAGTGATATTAGAAAGTTAAAATAAGAATATTTTTTTAGAGTATTATAACTTGACAAATAATTACTGTATAATTGTTATAGTAAGTTTTAGTAGGAATTTTTTTTTAATATTTATCAAAAAAAGTTCCAAAAAATATCTTAAAGTTTTGGATTATTAGAATGATTTTGTAGTAAATCAATTATGTACAAATATCCCTAATAATAACTTATGGTCATTGTGGAGGCCGGATTGTATGAGCTATGTAGGATTATGAGATGTATCATTTCTTATTGTAAAAAATTATCTTCTTCCATTTCAAGAAAAAGAATCATGCAATTAATAGAAGTTGCAAAATTAAGGGAAGACCACCTCCCAAAAATACTCTTCAAGAAAAAAAATATCAATTCAAAGCACATCATCTACTCAATTTATGACTATAAAAATCTGTAACAAGTATCTTGAAGGATTTGTTGTGTATAGAGATTGATTTAGGATTTAAAGAGATGCTTTCAATCTTTTGTCTAAATTTTTTGCACTTCATAGTTTATTCATTTGATTAACTTACATTTTTTCTTTACACAAATCAAGACCATATTACAAGCACAACTTATAAATGTAGAAAGGCTTGATGTTTGTAAGTAAAATACAAATCATTGAAAGCTAAGTTCGAATGTATTACAACTTAAGTTACAAACAAGCATGGGATTGTGATCACCCAAACTCATATTCTAAAAAAAATGCTACAATTAGAAAGTCATAATAGACATTGTTTTTTAAAAAAAAACATATTTGTATTGTATATGATTTGAAGTCAAAAGAAGCCTTTTCAATATAGATGTCTAGTACAATATATATATATATATATATAATCTCAATTGAAGAACTAATCAAGATCAAAGTGAAGACCTGTAGTGATGAACTTAGCATGTCGAAAGATTCTAATATATTTTGTAGAGGGTAGTTGCAATATTTTTTAAGAATAGAAAAAATTGTGTTGTATCAAGATTCATGGTGATAGTGATTCACAAGGAAAATTTCCATTAATGCTATTTTATTTGAACTTTAGGCAATCATTACTTGCCATGAGCTAAAGAACTTATTTAACATAGATGAAACTATTCTTAAATTTTGTAGAATCAATTTAGGTGTATGATTTGTTTTTTTTTCTTTTTGCTAATAATGTTTTAAAGTTTATTCTATTTCATTTTTTTATAAAAAAAATGCTACACAACAAGAAATTGAGAGACAAAAAAAAACTAGGTAGATTTTAATTTATTATAAAATTATATTGTTTTATAAATATTTGATAGAAAATTTAGTAACTTCAATATACAAGTCAAGAAAAGTATTATTATACATGTATTTTTATCAAATTTTTAAAAAATAACCTCATAATGTAAATGAATATATATATACATACATTTTATTTCAAAATTATATAAATTATCAAATTTATAATAAGTTATATAATTTTTTTATATTTATATAATATTATTATAATTTTCTAAAATTTTGGATTAACTTTCCTAGTATTTGATTGATATGGATTTGTAAAAACTATTTTTAATTGAAAAACAAATATATCTTTTCATTTATTTAAATTTTGAATTTTAAATTTCTTTAACTTTTTTTAACAAAGTAGTATTTTTTTAGATACAGTAGTTTATTTGGCATATATCTCTTCTTTGATATAAAAATCCTTTAATGGTAATATCATAAACATACATCAGCTTTTCAAAGGTTTTATTGAATCTAAAAAGTATGTTAGCAAAGGCAAAGATCAATTTGAGGTAAAATAATTTTAAAGGCTTTGAAACTAGTTATATTATTATTTTCAAAGTAGTATTTTTAAAAATAAAATGATAAATTATTTTTGAATACATATATATATATATGTATATATATAGAGAGAGAGAGAGAGAGAGAGAGAGAGAAAGAGAGAGAGAGAGATTAATTTGTTTAGAAAATAAAATAAAATAATGCTATATTTCTTCATCTTTGAATTTTTAAGAAATAGATTCAAATTCAATTTGCATGTCTATACCAAAATATTTTAAACATGTTCAATTAAAATTTGATTAGTTTCTTTCTTTCAATAATCTTTTCTAGATCTATATGTATTAAAAATGTAATATAACTCCATTACTAATATTTGACATTTATATCTTCTATTTTTTCATTCTTTTGTACCTATTAATATGGTTGGATTGCTTATGTAGATAAGGATATTGTTTTTAGTGATAATCCTTTTTCTATAATTATAGAGGTGATATTTTCTTCTCTTTGTGTTTTGCAATTCAAACATTTGATAACATAAAATAATAATCAATTAATAAAATAGGATTAATTATTTCTTTTGTGATATTCTTTATGTAAATATCAATATAATTTGTAGTTATTTTGTTATAAGAAATCAACCTTTTCAAACCTTATTATTTATATAATTACTCTTTATTCAACTACAATATCTTAAATATTAATTTCTATCTAAATTATATTTATATAGTGGAAAATATTTTTTTATTTTTTATTGGAGTTTTATAATTTAGAAATAAAATTATAATTTAATATATACGATAAATTTTATTAGATAATATTAAAATTTTAAAAAATGATGAATTCTTCTTAAATTAATTTTTTGAATCCGTACATTAATAAAGGCTAAATTGCACTAGAACTTTATTTTAATTCTCAACTTACTATTAATTGATTTTATACATATATAATAATTTAATTTTCTTAAAATTTTAAAAGATTCTTAGAACTTTAATAAGTTAGAATCTTTTTTTTGTACTAGGCTCTAAAATCTCAATACTAGAAATTTATATTGAATATATTTTAGATAAAATTTTGAAATAATTAAAATAAATTATATATATATATATATATATTTATAAGAACTATATTTTGTTACATAATAATAATGATTAACAAATCATGTTAATTTTTTAATATTTAAAAGTATTCTAATAATTTCTTATTATTTATCATTATATGAATTAGATTATTATTGTAACAAAGAATATATAAGATATTTGTATTATTAAGACATAAAAATAGATAGTTGGAATCATACTTGAAAAGTTATGGAAGTTTCTAGAATTAGGGCTAAATTAGTAGATCATATAGGATCCATTGATGAACATTCTAGAAAGAACTTAGAATAGTTATTTAAGTGGGATCCACTATAGAACCTTCAAAAAGGAATTTAAGGTGGTTATTTAAGTGGGATCCATCATTTAGGAACATTCTAGAATGTCCAAGGTGGTAAAAAAAAAGTATAAATAGGACTAGCTAGGGCCTTTTAGGCATCTGGTCAAGGATGGCTTCAGACCTTCTTTCTTAATAAAGTTCAATTTTGCATCTTCTTGTTCAATTTTTTTTTGTTCTATTTTTGTTTGCACAATTTTGTCTTTTGTGTCTTATTCTATTTAGTTCTTCTTAGTTTTGTTTTGGTCTATTTTGTCTTACTTTTTGATGAAGTTTTATGTGACTATGGATTAAAAAAGTCTTGGACTCTGAAGGTAGAGTGGTCATGTTTCATTGGTATTAGAGCAATTATTAGACTATTCTTTGGTAGTTTGTCAATAGCCATCATCTAGTTTGAGGTCAATTATTGTGGTCATATTAGATACTATGTTGAGGCTATTATAAGCTAGTTCTAAAAAATCAATCAGAAGGTGAAAAGGCATTAGAATAGTGGAGTCCAACGAGAAAATTACAACATAGAAGATATGGTGAAGCAATTCCTGGTAGAAGTTCAAATACAATATTTCTTAGGGCATATAGCTACTTTGCAAGGGCAAATAAAAGCCTCAATGATAAGGAAGTCAATATTTGCTAGACTAAAATTGAATAAGCCTAATACATACTTTAGGACTTCAAAACAAGAAGATGTATGTCAATGGTTCTTCAACATGTCACAATACCTCTAACTATCTACGGCAAATACCATTAAAGGAATTATATATGCAGCAAGGTATTTTAAAGATGCGGTAATCATTTGGTACCAACATCGAGTTCAAAGCTATGGAGCTTAAGGTGGATTTTGTAATTGGAAGGAATTTGAGACCAAGTTTAAGAATCAATTTTGGCCCATCAATGTAGAGAAGATAGCATGCAATTAGTTCGCAAATTTTATATAATCTACATTGATGCAAAATTATGTTTCTTGATTCAAATTCCTATGTCTAAAATTGACAATGTTTTAGATGCAAAGATGATGGATCGATTTCTACAAAGTTTAAAACTTGGTAGCCAACAAAAGATGGAACTAACGAATTTACAAACATTTGAAGAGGCAATTAGGATTGCAGAGAGAGTCAATGCTATAGATTTCAAAAATCATGGAATATGACCTATAATACAAAGTCTTATGCCACTATCTAATACTATGGCATAACAATCAATGCTAGTTGAGATTAATGCCCTTCAATAATCATTGATACCACAAAGACGACAAATATTGGTACAAAAGGGATTGCATTTTTATTGTTGAGAGCTAGGCCATCAAAATAGAGGTTGTCCAAAAGATCAAAATTCAAGCACCAACAAAACAAGGTAGGTTCACAGTCTTAAAATTCACTAAGTCTATAATGAGAGAGAGAAGAAAACAAAGCTTCTTAATAAAGGTGCTAATGCCAATATTAGGGATAACTATTGTCTCTCGAAGACAAATGATATGGCTTTAAATAACTATAAAAAGAGTCAATTAGTATATCTAATGGGACTATTAAGAATATAATCATATCGAGTGCTTATAGATTGTAGCTCTAGCAAAAATTACATCTTCATTGAAATTGCCAATAAACTT